GAGTTGCGGCAGCATGAAACGGCACAGAGTGTCTCGGCCGGTTCAAAGCGCTGTTCTGAGCCTGCGATGATGTCTGCAAAGGCGGCAGAAGAGGGGGACCCGTCGTGTAGTCATCCATAGAACGATGCGCACGCGAAGGCAAGGCAGGTGGTGCCTGGCGAGGATAGGCACGTAGACTGCTCTGATTTTCCGAAAGCTCATAGGGGGGAGGTGGCGAACCGGGCAGAGCGCCGTGAGTGTGGCCTGCTGCAGGATGTTCAAGATCTCGAACATGTGCCTGTCTGTGCTGCTCCAACTCCACTTGCATTCGCAGGCTCTCGGCTCGAAGATACTCGATCCGGAAGGAGGCCAGCTTCGCAAGACGCTGCTTGATTTGTCGAAAGAAGACGGCGCAGCCAGAGCAAGTGTTAATGACTCGGCGTATACGCTTAGCAAGTGCGCCACAAACTCACCTCGTCTTCCGCTCTCACTGTCTCGAGGACGAGTCGCAGGGCATCGCGATCCAATCGGTGATGTGTAGCTGGCGGGCGAGCATCGCGAATTCCGGCCTGACTGCGAGCATCTTGCTGCAACACTGCAGACTTGACATCTGCGAGGTCCAGTTGCAGACGATCAGCAACGCGCTGAAACATCGCCTCGGATCGCTGGGGCACGGGCAGCAGAGGCGCCGCGGGTTGTCCAGGCGGGTTGTTGAAGAATGCAGAGTGAGGGGGCGTGCACAGAGGTACCTCTCCTGAGAAGCTAGCGTGCAGGCTGCCGTTGCTGCCATTATTGGTGCTCAGGCTCAGGCTCAGGCTGGGCGCGGCGCTTGTGCTGCTGAGGTAGCTCGCGTGACTTTGATTGCTCAAATGACTTGCCTGGCTGCCCGGAGTGTCGCACCAAGACGAAGAAGATGGTGGCCTGGCCGACGGTCTGCCCGTTTGTCTTTGCGAAACTCGACGAGCGACGCCCGAAGGGGCGGCGATATTGCCCGAGCTTTGAGCCGGTGCAAGGATGGGAGAGCTGGTTGGCGAGCTGCCAACTACGGTGCCTCCAAAGTAGGACCCGCCGGCGTCTGCTGGAGCAGCAGGGAGG